GGTATTCTTTTATGGCTTTGCTTGCTATTTGCATGATACATTAAACTACCTATCTTCCAGTGATAATTCAAACGCGCTTCTGACAAAACGCTACCAACGACCCCCTTCTGTAGCGAGAACTGAGAAATAGGGGCAGTGTTCATGCCTAAGATATCGCACTACAGCAATTTGGAATCTTCCAAACCTGACAGATCACTGGGACTAATATTTCCTTTGTCGCATGCCTTCCCTACTGAAAGTCAACTTTTTAGAGCGTTCTCTGTCGTGTATTTCCGGTTGTCATTATCGTCGTAGTTAGACTGAACGAACTGCCGACCACGAGAGGAGGCCAAGTGTAGCAAAAAATAGAAAAATGATAATTCGAAGAGAAGTTTTTATAGAGGTCTGTGCATTTCCTCATTTCCTCATGTAAGTTTTGATGAAGACCACCATATGCACCAACAGGTTGGTGCAGTAATGAGGACTGGCCACAGGTGGTAGCTTTACAGTGATAGCAGAAGTGGTTAGCGCCAACCGCACTCTTCACCTTCACAATGCGTCAGGAAGACGAGACTGGATCCGGCATTGGACGCTGTCTCCAATGCAAGCCAGAAACACCGCCTAATTTAGTCTTAAGTGACAGTAGACTTTGCGCAGGCACTACCGCACTACCTACCCTCGCTCACCTTCATTCGGTGGTAATACAGGCTCAAGGAGGCCGAGACTGATATGATTACTACCAGTTTTACTACTACTAACTAGCAATGTAGCTGAGTGTTAGTAGTACTGATACTTTTTCTGACGGTATTCTGACTGAGTAAATATAGGCTAATAAATAAATACAGCCCAATATTTTTTAAATTTCCGGCATTTATTTGGCAAACTATACGTCATGCATGTATATAAATATGCCTTTCGAACGAAAAACACTTTTCTGATTATCGAGTAATATTCGTGAGTTACGCGACCTTATTTATACTTTGGGTGCTTATAGTGCGATCTTGACGATCTTTGGGCAACGTTTGGTGGACAAGCCCTCGCCTTCTCACTAACCTGTGTCACAGCCTCGCATTCGACCGGCAGCATGCCCCGTTCCTTCTTGGTGAGTTCGTTGGGTCGAACGAAAATGCGGATGCGGCGATTAAGGCCCTGTCGCAGCTGGTAAATCCCTCCCGTCTTCACATCAGCCGCCGGCGTCACAGACACCTTCTTGTAGGTGCCCTGAAGTGGGCGAGAACAAAAGAAGAAGAAGAGAAAGGCAATGCCATCAAAAGTATTAATTTCCGGCAGCCAAAACT